GGTTGACTGTGGGATGGGGCACATATTGTGTTATCACAACAGTCCCATTATCATAATAATTGTATTTTACTTAATTTGCTGGAGAAGCATAAGATAAACAAGGTAGTATAAGTTATTCTTGTTGTTTTAAAGATTTTTTTAAACATTGTATCACGGGGCCCTAGGGTTTCCTTTTAGAAATGACCCTCCCCCCCATTTTACATCAAGTTGCAATTCCAGTTTAAGCTAAGAAAATCATTTTGATCTGAAGTACCATTTTGTTTTGGGAAAAATAATTAAATCTGATCTGCTGCTCAGCTGAAGAGGACTGTTCATTGCTGAGTCCTTTGGTATTTCCTGCCTGGTTAATTGAATAGCTGACTGCCATGTCATGCCTCATTCCACTAGGAGACGGGAATTCAATATGAAACATTTCAGTGTAGTGTTTTGTAAATTACTTGTACATTGCCACTTAGAAACCAACATATAAATATAGGAATCTTTACATTCCCCACCAAGTTTTTCTTTGTGGAACTCTTGGTGGGCTTGTAGTCATTAAAGTTTGACATTTTTGCAAATTATGTCATAAAGCAATCTTTTCCCCTGGTACATACTGGAAGCAATTGCTGCTCTCAATGGCAATTGAGGTAACCCCACAGCAATATATTATTAATGTTTTATAGTAAAAAAAATGTGCCTGCATTGAAATCTCTGAGTTGATTTGGTTTTCCACCACCAATGGTGTACACCAATCTATATTCTGGAAAACCATGGGGTTCCCTAGTAGTTTACTTGTGGTTCCTAATGACATTATGGGGACCAAATGTCCCCCACAATTTTGGATGGCTTATAAGCTGTGCTCTCATACTGGAATAATGAAGAAGTCCAATAAGACTAACCCATGATTTTTGTGAAGTGAATGCATGCCCTAAAATATGCCCCAGAATCCTTTGCAAAGCAAGTTGTCTTATAACAGACCTGCAGGGCTTTTTCATTTTGGAAAGCTAGGTATAAAACCCAATGTTTTAGATGTAACAACATGATGCTTTGCTGAACTGAACTGCCTATTTAAAAACCTCTCAGGGCCCCTCCAGACAGGCCCATATCCCAGCACCTGTTTCACCAGAGGTGTCCAAATGACGCCCCCAGTAAAAGCGAATTAATCTAATGAGGAAACCCTGGTAGGGTTTCCTCATTAGATTCTTTCCTTCCCAAAAGGCTTGGGTCTAATGGGGTTTTGGGCCTGTGGGGACTCATATGTGACTAACCAGGGGTGAGTCCCCACAGCCATATCACTTCTTTGGGCTTCCAAAAGCCTGGAGGAGCAGGATGGCACCCACTCCCTCCTCCCTGCTGCCCATTTACCTCTAAAATTAAATAAAATGTATATGGCTGCAATAATCTTGCTCCTGACATGCTAGGAGACCGGGGGGATTTTCCTTCTTGTCTTCTCCGTCTCCTGGCATGTCATTTCCTTGCATCAGGAGGCCGTGAGGAGCAAAGTTATGGCAGCCAGCTACATTTAATTTAATTTTTAATGGGAAATTCAGAGGCTTCAGGGTGGCTGCATGCCATCCCAATTTAAATCAGGATAGCATGAAGCCACCCCCCCTCCCTCTGGGAAAGCCTGGGATTTTTTTGGGGTGGGCACAGGTTTTTAAAATCTGCTTTGGCACAGATTTTGGCCTTGTCTGGAAGCACCCTTAGCTATTTGTATTCAATAGTAGCTATATTGAGGTGAAATTTACATTATTGACATCCCAAAATACAAATGTGCCTCATAATGTCTCCCTCGAACTGATTTACTTTATTTATTTAAAGTATTTGTATACCGCTTTTCTTACCCTGAGGGGGACTCAAAGTGGTTCTTTTCAATAGTAATTATCTTAAAGGTGTATAATCATAGGCCAAATCTATACTGCCATATAAAATCCAGAGTATCTTCTTTGCCATATAATCCAGTTCAAAGCAGATAATCCGGATTATATATGGCAGTGTAGAAGGGGGCTCGGACAAATTCAACTGCGTGAATCTAAACAGCAACTTGGATCTCAGCCATAAAACCCTGCCAAATTAAATAGAGCACACATGAGGAAGTCAAGCACCCTTTCTTTCTTTCTCTTTCTTTCTTTCTTTCTTTCTTTCTTTCTTTCTTTCTTTCTTTCTTTCTTTCTTTCTTCCTTCCTTTCTTTCTTGCCATTTCTATAGAACAAATGTCAATGGAGTATGTTTATGTTTAAAGCAGCAAAATGAAAGTCAGGAAATAGGATTAAAATGCAGCTGTAATGGTCTGGATATCCAAAAAATGTTACTGTGTTTATCTTGTAGAAAATATGATATTATTATGCTTGGATATGTATTTTGAGTCTTATGTGAAATAAGATTATCCGATCTTGGAAGCTAAGCAGAGCCAGCTCTTGAATGTGACATTATTACTGAATATCAAATCCTGTAGGTTATACTTCAGACGAAGAAACTAGCTAGTTTAGGATATGAGTTTGTGAGAAACAGGAATTAGAACATGTAGGTCAAGAAATATAGTCAGGGGCCATCATTCTACTTTCACTTGACTTAGCCGATGGTTTGTTGACCGAAATAAAGGCTACTAACTAACTGACTGATTTGTTTAAAGCAGAGTGGAATCTTAAGGCTGGTTCTACACCGCTTTATATCCCGGAAACTGATCCCGAAACTTGATTATGTGTCCCCGTTGTCATATAATCTAGGATAAGAAGATAATCTGGGATCAATGGCTGATATAAAGCGGTGTAGAAGGGACCTGAGTCCACATCCACACTGCCATATAATCCAGTTCCTGATCCCAATTACTTGATTTGAAATGGATTATATGGCAGTGTAGACTAATATAATCCAGTTCAAATCAGATAATCTGGGATCAGATAGCAGTGTGGCTCAAGCCTGAGATGTGTTTGAGAAAGGCTAATTAGAATAAATAATATGGTGGGCCCTGGGTATCCACTGGGTTCCAGGACACCCCATGGATACCAAAACCTATGGATGCACTTCCATTATATATGGCAATGTAGTAAAATGATGTTCCCTATATAAAATGCCAAATTGAGGCATGCTATCTGGATTCTTAAAGAAAAATTAAGCCGTGGGTGGTTGAATCCATGGATAATTTGTTGCTTTAATAACAAATAGGCCCAAGCATTATACTGTATCCCCAAACATTTGACCAACAGTAATGGTAAATAGTTTAAATTACCTTCATTTGATACACACACACACACACACACACACACAGATGGATGATAGAGTTCACATACAATTTTGGGCCACAATGCTGAAATGTAATACAGTAGAGTCTGGTTTATCCAACATAAACAGGCTGGCAGAACATTGGATAAGTGAAAATTTTGGCTAATAAGGAGGGATCAAAGAAAAGCCTATTAAATGTCAAATTATGTTATGATTTTACAAATTAATCACCAAAACATCATGTTTTACTACAAATTGACAGGAAAAAGCAGTTCAATACATGGTAACATTATGCAGCACGTACTTACTGTATTTACGAATTTAGCACCAAAACATCGCAATGTATTGAAATACCTGTGGGTCCGGTGGGAGGCAGACTGCATCGAATAATAGAGAACGTTGGATGAGCTAAGGTTGGATAAGTGAGACTCTGGGCCCTTCCACATAGCCCTATATCCCAGAATATCCCAGAATATGATATCCCAGAATATCAAGGCAGGAAATCCTACAATATCTGCTTCGAACTGGGTTATCTGAGTCCACACTACCATATATTCTAGTTCAAAGCCCATAATGTGAGATTTTCTGCCTGGATATTCTGGGATATAGGGCTTGTGGAAGGGCCCTCAACTGTAGTTGATAAAGTCTGGCACAGTGGTATCTATGATGGTAGCAGATGTACAATTGTTACTGTTTTAAGTGATTAGTGGGTATGGGCCATAGCCAGAAATTTTTTTTGGGAGGGGTTGAAAATTTTTTTGGTTTTTTTTTTAAATTTCACAGGGGGGGGGGAGTTGAAACAAAAAGCACAGCAGGGGGCAGAGCAGCCTTCAATAGCCTGCAGCTCCGCCCCTGTCAACCACCTCCACCAAGTCTGGGCTCCTTAATGAGAACATTCAACACTCCCCCACCCCCAACTTGGTTGCTTCACTACATAGGCTATTGCTGCAAGTAATGACAGTGTGAATAAATTGTCAATATTTGCTTGAGATAGTGCTTGAAGTTTGGAGATAATTTTTTGCATCTCATAGACTTAGCATGGGGATTTGGTTAACCAGTTAAAATTCATGAGAAAACCAGTTTTTTTTAACTTGAAAAATTTTGGGGGGGGGGGTTGAACCCCTCCCCCCCCCCCCCCCCCCGTTACAGGCCTGGGAAGAAATTCACACAAAAAGAATCACAAAGGAAATAGTTTCAAGAGTAACAGCAGGCATGAAACCTGGAGCCCCTTCTACAAAGCCATATAATCTGGAATACCAAAGCAGATAATCCACAATATCTGCTTTGAATTGGGTTATCTGAGTCTACACTGCCATATAATCCAGTTCAATGTGGATTTTATACAGCTGGTTGGAAGGTGCCTGAGAGTTCATATAAGGTAGTGGTAACACAGATACACTGGCCAGCACACACTTTGGTGCTTCAAATGTTAGTCTTGTTTGTTACTGACTTTGTTGTTTCACTTGCTGATTCAAAATATGGCACCAGTTTCCCCCTATCAGCTCTAATTTTTGAGCTACAGAACATATGCCATATACCTGTTTTCATCTGCTCGCCCACAGAAAACCACGATAACCATATCTAGAGATGATGCAGTCTATCCAATGCAATTTTCTGAATCAGAGCCTAAAATTATACCAAGAACAAGCCTAAAAACCAAGACACCAAAAATTCATTTTTTGGGGGGCTTTGTCGTTTGAAGAGAGTTACCACATATGGCGATGGCCTGGAGAAAGTAGAGATTGGCATAACATTACCATGGCACATATTTTTGACATTTCATCATTATTATTTCATACCTAGTGCTCCAGTGAGGCACATGAGGAAGAGTAGTCCCACACAAAAGAAGATATCTATGTTCATGCGTTGCTCAATTTTGCTGCGTTTATAACGAGGTCCTCTGTTATTCAACATGGCTTTGGTTTCATGGCCTTTGAACACATAGGCAAAACATAAGAAAGAAACGGGGATATGAACTTAACATCGCAAGATCAGAAATTTTTATAGTCTCAAGTTTAATTACTTTCAAAAACATAGTCAGAAGTCAGGCTTCCCTATTTCTCTATGTCATCAGATAAACTTTGTGTTTTGTTTGTTTGTTTTTAATGCAATACAACTGTTTTGGTTTGCTCTTGACATGATAAATCAATCAATCAGATAATTCAGTGATATTAAGAATGCTCTTTTAAAGCATTCATAGTCAACAACATGATTTCCAATGGTAGAAAGACTATTTCAGAAACATTAGAAGGAAGCGCATCTCCTACTTAAATATAGAAAAAATGGCATTGTAAAAAGCACAGCAACTCTGAAAGAGGAAGTGTTTACTGTGAACATTGGACTACAACTCTAAAGATAGGGTCCAAATCTCTATTTAGCTCTTCTGTTAGTCTTAAAGGAGCCATACAGTTCTTTAGCAGCCTTTAGTTCTTATATATCTGACCTCACACTTTCTGTAAGATCATGAGCCAGAGCCGATTGACAGGAAGATTAGAGATCTGCATATATGGATTGGTGGAAGGAACAAAATGGAATGTGTTTGTGCTTTTGAGATCAAGCTTAATTGTTTTGCCTAGCTATTTGGATGTTTCTTATGTGGTATTCTCTGTTTTGAGCATTATAGTCTAGTGATCTAAGGCAGAATTTCTCAAACTGTGCTCCTCCAGATGTTTTGGACATCAGCTCCCTCAAAGCTGGTAAACTGGCTGGGATTACTGGGAGCTGAAATTCAAAACACCTTGAGGAGCACAGTTTGAGAACCACTGATCTAAGGAGCAGGGTAACTCTGAGAGGAAGTGTTTCCAAATTATGGGACCCCAATGACAAATTTTCTTTGTAAGATTTGTTCAGCGAGGTCTTGCCTTTGCCTTCCTCTATGATCAAGAAATTGAGACTTGCACAAGGTAAACCAATCGGTTTCCATGGCTAAACAGGGATTTGCGTCCTGGTCTCTGAGATGGACCCCGAGTTGTAGTCCAATTCCCACACCATTACACCATCCTGGCTTTCTCTCCATAGTCACTTTCAATGTGTAGAAGGGTATGCCTTTGGGTCTCATTTGTTCCCACGTGAATCAAAAGGAAAAGGATAAAGTCAGTGGACATGATATGTTTTGGCAGTCTCTCTAGAACAACTTAAATCTTCATGAACCTGTCAAGACATCCTTTGGGCCACTGCCTCTGCCTCCCCCGCTAACAGATTTCATGCCACCACACATTTTCTTCTATGGGAAATAGCCTGGAAAAGGAAAGCTGGTTGTGGATGTTATGAAAACTAATTTCAATAAGCTTTAAAATATTGGGTAAGAGCTCATGGTCAAAAATATTTAAAGAGAAGAAAACACATGAAGAACGAGAATAGTTTAAGAGTGGTTTATTGAAGGCAATTCTATGTTTTGTGTATAAATCAGATTAGGTGAAGAACGGCACCTTTGTGTAATCCCCTTGACAACTAAAACTTATCTATTTCTTTCTATTCTAACACTGGCTTCTTATCCAGACTTTAGCTTATGCACCAGGATAATCAAATGTATTGTACTTTTGCACACAGTAAAGAATCTTGCTGTAATTTATACAGTTCAGGCTGATTTTTAAAAAAATATTTCTTGCATTTCTCTAGGCGATATAGGTTTGCAGTATGATCTCTAGTACTTCTACTTTTTAAAATCCATATATGGTTAAAATCTTTGTTGTAAAATGTTGAGCATCACTTTGCTTGCATGGGACATTCATGCAATGGTCCAATGCAATTCCTTATGTCTGCATTCTCAAGAAATGTAATATATATTGAACATTTCCAATTTTAGGACATAGCTTTTTTCATATTTGTTGGAATTCATAGAATATTCGTTCACATGAGGTTTGCTTTCTATAGAGGAAAATTCTATGAATTGGCATGCCATCTGTTTCTGGTGATTTCGTTCTTTTGAACCAATCTTACATTATAGGGTTTATTTCTACCAGGGATTTTTATTTCTATATCTGAAACAGCAGAAATACATATAGCTTACTCACAGTGAGCCTCTATTTGAGTCAGAGGGTGCTAAATACTTAAATGCATTTGAATATGATTAGATGGTTGACTGATTTTTAAATATATTTGACTACTTCACAGCAGCCAAACACACTTAATGAGAATCAGCCAGTGCACTTTCTGTGGGAACACAAAGAAAGACCAGTATGTCAAAACTGGCTGTGAGTAATTTTAATGTTTCTTAGCTCCTTCTGAAATGAATCTGAATTACCAACAAAACAGCAGGCAAAAAAGAGAACACGTACTAAACTGGAATCAAATTGGTACTGTTTCAGCGGACTTGCATTTGAAGTTCTAACCAGGCAACATGAAAGAGAAACCAGGCTCTGTTCTGTACCCCTGCCGTGATCTCTCATTGCCTTTTCCTGGCTATGAACAAGGCCACTGTGGTGCAGTGTAGGCCTATACCAAATGAGAGCCTCAACATCAAAGATCCGTGAAGCAAATAGTTTTGTAGAGGGATTTATTCAGAATGAATATTCTTAAAATAAGCCTCTGGGTCCTCCCCCGTGTTCCTAAAAGCATACACCTAAAGTCAAAAGCAGTCTTAAACCAGCACGGCAGGGGAAGGAGTTTAATTCTAAATGGTATCATTTCTGTGTCTTCGTCAAGATCCCAACTGTAGCTGCAATATGCTTCTTCACCCAAGTCCCAAAGGTGCAATTTGGTGACAAGCTGACATCCCAATCTAAAATATATAACTCTGAACATTTTTCACTGATTACAGCAATATTTCCACATCACAGGACTTTCCGTATAGAACTGTATCATCACAATGAAAGGCAAAGGATCATGTTATAACCACCCAACCATTGTTTTTAAATGTACTTTATGATTTATTCATTTCTCTATCGAATAGTATCTATAAGTAATATATCTGTCAGCAAAATCTGACTGCTAAAGGGAACAGATTGTATCTAGTTTTCTTCCTCTCTTTCTGACACTTCTTGATTATGTGCCACTCAAATTCTGATTTCATATATTTCTATACTATCTCTTAATAAAAATGACTATAGTGATTTATGTATGAAGATAATATGAAAATGATCAAAACAAGAGAATACAATTACAGAAGTGGGCAACTTTGGTTGGAGGGTTGGTAGTGCAGTACCAACTCTACCCACTGGGTGTTGCACTTGAGTTCTGTTGGCAAACTGGATCTCATCACATCGAGCTTTTTCCCTGTCATACACCACTTCATCTACATTAAAGGACGAAGAGGCATGGAGTCCATCACATGAGGTTTGCTTTCTTTTGGCCCTCATCCATTTCCTTTCATCCTCAAAATGTAGATGAAGTGTACTGAAAAGAGGGAGTTCAGAACATGGGGAAGTAATTGTGTCTTGGGCCCCTGGTGTATGCCAGAATAGTTGCTAATGCCAAATAACACATGTGATGGGATCTGACAGATTCGCCCATGTTGAATTGTTTGAGTGACATGGAGGAATGGTGTTCCTTACCACTTTGCTTCCACTGCATTTCTAATGGAGGGAAGGAAAGCCTAGCACAGTGGTTCTCAACCTGGGGGTCGGGACCCCTGGAGGGGTCATGAGGGAGTGTCAGAGGGGTCACTAAAGACCACCAGAAAACACAGTATTTTCTGTTGGTCATGGGGGTTCTATGTGGGAAGTTTGGCCCAATTCTGTCATTGGTGGGGTTCAGAATGCTCTTTGATGGTAGGTGAACTATAAATCCCAGCAACTACAACTCCCAAAATATCAAGGTCTATTTTCCCCAAATTCCACCAGTGTTCACATCTGGGCATCTTGAGTATTTGTGCCAAGTTTAGTCCAGATCCATCATTGTTTGAGTCCACAGTGCTCTCTTGATGTAGGCAAACTACAACTCCAAAACTCAATGCCAATGCCCACCAAAACTCTTCCAGTATTTTCTGTTGGTCATGGGAGTTCTGTGTGCCAAGTTTGGCCCAATTACATCGCTGGTGGAGTTCAGAATGCTCTTTGATTGCAAGTGAACTATAAATCCCAGCAACTAAAACTCCCAAATGACAAAATCAACCGCCCAACCCCGCCAGTATTCAAATTTGGGCGTATCGGGTATTTGTGCCAAATTTGGTCCACTGAATGAAAATACATCCTGCCTATCAGATATTTACATGACGATTCATAACAGCAGCAAAATGACAGTTACGAAGTAGGAAGGAAAATAATTGTATAGTTGGGGGTCACCACCCCATGACTAACTGTATTAAGGGGTCGCAGCATGAGGAAGGTTGAGAACCACTGGCCTAGCAGGAGGAGATCATGGCAAAATGGTTTATAATTACACTGGTCTTATGAAGAGAAGGAAGGCACTGGAATGGAAATAATCCAGATTTGTATATGGCAGTGTTGATGGAGCTTTAGAAGAAGACAATGGCAAACCTTTTCTGAAAAAATCTTGCAACCCCCCCCCCCCCCTTGTGATTGTTTCATCGTAGGGTCACTGATGGGTCAAAAACAATTGAAGGCACACAGCAACAGCAAATGTAGTCCACCCACCTCTGATCAAAATATATTAATAGGGACAGCCACTTCTGGTTTGCACTGTGTCAAATAATATCATTATCTCATTGCTCATAACTGTAGCATTTCCATAGACCAACTCTCATAAAGATACATAATCAAAACCAGAGTAGGAAACATGTTTATTCGAAACTACCTTCACAAGGTTTAGTGCTTACACAATCATTTAAATGTTCTTCCTCTTTTCTTCTGCACTTTCTCTCCTCCTCTCCCTCCCTCTAACCCTTCCCCACATAATTTTCATTCATCCTTTCTCTCTTCTCATTTTCCTGAGGACACAGGCCCAAAACCTGCAATCCATCATGAGTTAACCTCAGGTTAACCTAGATTAATGCAAAGTTATAGTGAAATGATTTTTGGGTTCCTTGATTTTTTTTCTTTAGGCTGTACATTAAAAATGTTGGAATTGGTAGCAAAGGGAAAACCCCCACAATGGATGAAATCTTCCAATTGCAGTTGAGATACAGTGCAGGAGGTGTTCAGCAGACTTAATTAGTTGAGCTTCTGTGAGGAGCGAACAAATTTTAGTTTGCACCAAGGGCTGCTGGGCAAAGAAACAAGCTGCACATCCAATCTGAATGACCCTATCAGTAGCAGCATGAAAAGCAAAACAAAATCCTGAATTACCTGCATAGATCACAATTCCTACAGCAACTTCTGTGTTCCTTACTGTACATCCACGGAGAAGTAGATTTTCAATGTTGAAACCAATCCTCGTGAGATCAGTTTGCTCCCTACAATGAAGAAATTTTTGTATGATACATTATTTATATTTACCCACTGAAATTGTATTTTGTCACCCTCCTGTAAAATTGGCCTAAGAGAGCTCCCCCCCCCATGGTAATTGGGAATGGGTTTCACTTTCACTTCATTAGCACAATGGCATAGAATGACATCACAAATATCTGTAAGCGAACTTTTAAATATCTGTAAGCTAGTATAAAAAGGTTTTCTGTCAGATGAAAATGTCACACTGCATGTGTGATATGTTTGGATCTAGCTATGCTGAGCTGAATTATTTTCTGTCAATGGGTATAACAAAAATAATTTACGCATTTATTATTTATTATTATTTATTTATTTATTATTTGCATTTGTTAACCGCCACTCTCAGCCCGAAGGCGACTCGTGGCGGTGTACAAAACATAGACCATAAAGACAACAGTTTAAATTCAAGGCCATAACATACATCTTACGAACACACAGATAATTAAGCTAAAAATCCGCTTCGTCCTGTTTGGGTCATAATCGATCTCGTAGTCCTAGTCCAATCCGGTGGTCATACCAAAGCATAGCACTTAATTGAAGGCTTCTTCGAAGAGCCAGGTCTTCAGGCCCTTGCGGAAGGCCAACAAAGAGGGCGCCTGTCTAATTTCAGCGGGGAGGGCGTTCCACAGCCGGGGGGCCACCACCGAGAAGGCCCGCTCCCTCGTCCCCGCCAGACGTGCCTGTGAGGCAGGCGGGACCGAGAGAAGGGCCTCCCCGGATGATCTCAAGGTCCTCGTGGGCTCGTAGGCCGAGATGCGGTACTCAAGGTATTTTGGGCCGGAACCGTTTAGGGCTTTGTAGGTTAGCACCAGCACCTTGAATGGGCCCGGTAGCTGATCGGCAGCCAGTGGAGCTGGGACAGCAAGGGCGTTGTGTGCTCCCTGCGTCCCGCTCCGGTTAACAACATGGCTGCCGCGCGCTGGACTAGCTGAAGCTTCCGGGCCGTCTTCAAGGGCAGCCCCACGTAGAGAGCGTTGCAGTAGTCGAGGCGGGATGTGACCAAAGCATGTACCACCGTGGCCAAGTCAGACTTCCCAAGATACGGGCGCAGCTGGCGCACAAGCCGAAGCTGTGCAAACGCTCCCCTGGTCACCACTGAAACCTGGGGATCCAGGCTCAGCGATGAGTCCAGGGTCACACCCAAGCTGCGAACCTGCGCCTTCAAGGGGAGTGCGACCCCGTCCAGCACAGGCTGTAACCCTATACCCTGTTCGGCCTTGCGACTGACCAGGAGTACCTCTGTCTTGTCTGGATTTAATTTCAGTTTGTTCGCCCTCATCCAGACCGTTACAGCGGCCAGGCACCGGTTCAGGACCTCGACAGCCTCCTTAGTAGCAGGTGGGAAGGAGTGACAGAGTTGGACATCATCTGCGTACAGGTGACACCGCACCCCGAAACTCCGGATGATCTCACCCAGCGGCTTCATGTAGATGTTAAACAGCATGGGGGACAGGACAGAACCCTGAGGAACCCCACAAGTCAAAGGCTGTGGTGTTGAACAGGAGTCCCCCAACAACACCTTCTGGGTACGACCCTCCAGAAATGACTGGAGCCACCGCAAAGCGGTGCCCCCAAGACCCATCTCTGCAAGGCGTCCCAGAAGAATACCGTGGTCGACGGTATCGAAGGCCGCTGAGAGATCCAGAAGCACCAACAGGGACACACTCCCCCTGTCTAGCTCCCGGCGGAGATCATCCACTAAGGCGACCAAGACCGTCTCGGTACCATGTCCCGGTCTGAAGCCAGACTGTGCCGGATCCAGATAATCCGTGTCTCTCAAGAATACCTGGAGTTGTGAGGCCACCACGCTTTCCATGACTTTGCCCAAGAAGGGGATTGGAAACAGGCCGAAAGTTGTCAAATTTAGTGGGGTCCAGTGATGGTTTCTTCAACAGCGGTTTTATTGCTTGTTTTAAGCACGCTGGAATTTTGCCTTCCCGAAGGGAGGCATTAACCACCACCGTTACCACTCAGCCAATCCCCCTCTGGCCTCTTTCAGAAGCCAGGATGGGCAGGGGTCTAGGATGGACGTGGTGGGCCTCATTCCTCCAAGTATCTTGTCCACATCCTCGGGTTTCACAAACTGAAAAGAATCCATCAAAATAGGACAAGCAGGTGCTTGTGTCACATCCACAGAGACTGCATTTAAAGTGGCGTCCAGTCCAGAACGGATCAAAGCGACTTTGTCTGCAAAGAACCGAGCAAATGCTTCACAGCGCGTGTCCGAGTTGTCAGTGCTCCCACCTAAGATAGGGGGAGTTAAAAGACCTCTGACAACCCGAAACAGCTCCGCCGGACGGTTTTTTGCAGACGCAATAGTAGCCGCAAAGAAGGTTTTCTTTGCGGCTTTTATTGCCGCGGCATATGCCCTTAAAAAGGACACAAACCGTGTTCGATTTGGCTCGCTTGGGTCCGAGCGCCACACGCTCTCTAGTTCCCTCTTCCTTCGCTTCATCGCTGCCAACTCCTCAGTGAACCAAGGAGATGGTTTAGCTCGGTTACTTGAGAGGGGACGTTCCGGAGCGATCCTGTCAATTGCCCTGGTCATCTCCCCATTCCAGAGAGCGACCAAGGCCTCGACATGGTCACCTACCGAGGTGGCGGGAAAATCCCCAAGAGCCGTCAGGAATCCATTCGGATCCATAAGCCTCCTGGGGCGGACCATCTTAATGGGTCCTCCACCTTCGCGGAGGTTAGGGGGGGCAGTGAGCCTAAATCTGATCAGGAAGTGGTCGGTCCATGGCAACGGAGAGATGGACAACTCCTCCACACCGCCACCTTGCTCCCATCCCTGGCAGAAAACCAAGTCCAATGTATGTCCAGCACAGTGGGTGGGGCCAGTTATTTGTTGGGACAGCCCCATGGTTGCCATGGCAGACATGAAGTCCTGAGCCGCTCCCGATAAGGTGCTCGGCATGGACATTGAAGTCCCCCAGCACAAGCAGCCGTTGGGACTCCAATGCCAGGTCCGAGACCACCCCCGCTAGCTCAGGCAGGGAGACTGTAGTGCAGCAAGGTGGACGGTACACTAACAGAATCCCTAATCTGTCCCGGTCACCCACCCTCAGGTGGACGCATTCAAAATTTGTGGTCTGCGGGATGGGGCTCCTGGTCAGATGGATGGAATCTCTATAGACCACTGCGACCCCGCCTCCCCGTCCTCCGGCTCTTGGTTGGTGTTGCACGGAGAAACCTGGAGGACAAAGCTGGGAGAGGTTTACGCCCCCAGCTTCGTCCAACCAGGTCTCCGTGATGCACGCCAGATCTGCCCGTTCCTCCAGGATTAAATCCTGGATCCAGGTCGTTTTACCGTTGACAGATCTGGCGTTCAACAACACCACCTTCAAACCAGAGGGCCCGCTCACCTGGTTACACCAATTTACCTTAGGAGACCGGTTGGGGGTTGTTAATATGGATAAGCGGTCCGAATTAGGCCGAATTCGAGGTCTCCTTTTCCCGCATCTCCTCCTTCCCACCACGACCTCTATGGGGGCCCCTCGGCATGAGTAACTTGGAAGTTAAGCAGGGTCAACACTGGCCAGTGTGGGACAGAAAATTTCAATACATGTCTATCACTGTCTGTCTGTCTAACTATCTATCTATCTATCCATCCACTCATCTTTCTTGCTAACATGCATAGTATTGAGTATGAACCATTGCTCAGAGAATTGTTGTCAGACTAAAATGCACATCATGTAGTGACTTTGGCTGGTTAGATCTAGACTAGTAGGGTTGGGTTTAGGGAAACTCTTTGATATTGTGGGTAGTACTGGATCCTTTTACCACCCACTTAGGGCCTTACTACAACCAAGATTATTGCCAATGTTACAGTTGTCAGGAAACACCACCTTGCATCTGGCAGGATGGCACAGCACACTTTCCCCTCTTTGTTTCTTTTGATGAATCTAGGAGGTAGCAATTATTGCGAACACAAAATTGGTCCATGTGTCATGTGTTGCACACCCTCCTGCTAGGGATAATATAACTAACAAAAACAGGATTTACATGCATGAGATTAAATTACTGATCTGGTACACCAATTGATGTGGGACTCGTGCTTGCCTCCAGTGACATTTCTGAACCCCTGCTGTCTTGTTCAGAGACATATAAGAAGCTTTGGCAGTTTGAATATTATTCATAAATATCAAAACATTCAGGTATTTTGAAGGCCAAATACACATGGAGGGACACTTGCACTCAGGTCCTGACCCTATGGTCCGTGTGTGTGAAGGCTCCTCTTTAGATCATTGCAAACCTAGCATGAGGCCTGAAGGAGGTTTCCAGGTGTGCTCAGCCGAACGTACGTGGAAGCTTTTGTGTGATGAGGAACTGATGTGGCAGGTTCCTGAAATCATTAGAAAAGGAGGGACTTCTACTGAAATTGTTATTAAATACTATATAATTTTTTATGGAGGCCTGTTAGACCCTTAAAGAGGAAAATATATAGAAAGGCCATCCCTTGATTTGTTGATGTGTATAGAATTACACATGACCCACTCAACTTTCATTGTTTTAAGGATGCAGTGTTGGTTTTGGCTACTGGAAAACATTTAGCTCAAATGACTAAAAATGAACAAGTTTTTGTGCTAAATGTTGGGTCATTGGATATGGAGCATCTGTTTCTCTAAATAGTTTTAATGTCCCTAATACTCAACTGATAGCTCAATGAGAGTACAGTATTGCTAAGTATATGCATTTTTGTTGACTTAGGATGGAATGGGCCTTCCAGATGTTGTTGTGGCCTTCCAAATGTTGTTGGGTATGCCAACCCTTCACAACCTATGGCCCTCCAGGTGTTTTGGACTTCAGCTCCCAGAATTTCTGATCATTGGACAGGCTGGTTAGGAATTCTGAGGGTTGGACTCCCAAACACATGCAGGGCTGTAGGATATACAGGTCTGCGTTATATTGATAAGGGTGGTGGGCCTCCAATAACATCTGGAGGACCACAGTGAGCTACATCCAACCTAGGATGTATATGATTGACACTGCCCTGGATGATAAACCTCTGAATATGAGAAACATATTGAATGATAAATAACCACAATGACTTACATATAGCCTTTGAATCTATTGAGGTCATTGTTGGGCTTTTCACAAACAATTATATTTTGGAAAGCTTCTGGCTCAAATTCAGTGTTCTGCAAGAAATAACACAAAAATCACAGTGAAACTTTGCATGATTCATCTTTTGACTATAGAGCTGTAATGTCTTTCAAGTTGATTCCATCCAAGTATTTGTGTAGAGGTAGTGATGATTTCAGGTAGTCTAGTAAACAACCTGTTTTTTAAAAAATACAGAGAGCTTAATATTCTTAATTAAGTTCTCTGGAAAAATTTTAATGATGTATTAAGAATTTGGAATAAATTTAAAACAAGACTATTGACTTCATCACACACAATAAAATCAGTGTTTCTACACATTTAAGCAATGACAACCCACTGTGCGCTTCACACGACCTGAGCTTCAACTGTGGGGGTGAGTTTTGTAAAGTGTTTGTTTTCCCAATGATTCCTGAGTCAATGGGCAAGGGACTTATTTTCAACCCTCCCCCGCCATTACAGATGGGCCAAAAGGCCAATTTCACAGGATGATGCTAATCACCGTTGCCCACTTTTATTGCTTGTTTATAAATAAACCAATGACACTGTGTGTTGGAAGAACCAAAATGCCCTTTCACCAGATTGCCAATGCAGGGGCTTGGGAAAAGGGTTAATTTAAAACCACTTCCTACAATTGCCAATGCAAAGGCTCAGGGAAAGATGAGGGTTAATTAAAAACCACTTCCTGCGATCTGGAGTGATTTTTTTAAAAAAGATAAATAATCAAATTCCTGGAGGTACAATGAAAGGAATTCTTAGTGCCAACGACCCCAAGGAAAGTGCCACCTTAAGAAAGGTGCTTCTGTTTGAGGCAGTCTAAGGGGTTTGAAGCCAGGGCTGCCTTAAAGGTTGCTTGTTTTAAAAAGTGTGCTGGTATACTTGAAATGGGAGAATTCATCACCTGCCCATGTGATGGAAATTAAATGGATGGTTGAGTTAGAAGCTGGAAGCGGCAATCTTCTTTGAAGACAGAACCCCATGAAACTCCACCCTTTCCCCTGCTTTCACTCATTTTCTACAGCTCAATGCGATGAAGTCCTAGGTAACAAAATACTACTTTGGATTCCCACTCAGGAGGCATTTTATAACTTAGATCAGACAACAAATGTAAAATTGACAATATATAGAGATGTAATAGTATTTGAAAAGGACTTAAACACACATATTTTCACAGTAAGATCTTGATGTAATCATACGACGAACTGATGCATTGAATGCAATTTTACTGTTTCTTGGCAGGGGGTTGGACTGGATGGCCCACGAGGTCTCTTCCAACTTTATGATTCTATGATACATTAGAATTGTTCATTTCACCAGATCTACTAGAAGTATTATGTCTTGATAAAGCTGGATATATTTAGCTGGGAATGGGGGAGTGGCATATAAAATTCAGTGGATAGTGGCTTTTGGATTTAGAGCAAAACAGATTGAGACATTTGGTTAGTGTTTTAAAATTCCAGACTGAAACCCAAAAGGTATTCATAACCCTGCTAACACAGAAGCCAACAGTTGCCATTTAGGAAAACACTTGAGTTGGAATTGATAAAACCAACTGTTTTGTAGATGCATAGAATTATTTGTCTCTATTTGTTTACTTGGTTGTTATTAACTAGAGTGTGTTCATTTAGATGGGAGTCAAAGCCGCATTTACCTTCTGGGTTTTTGGTGTGATGCTGTTGCAGTTGGACACAAAAAGAAAAGTACATTTTGAAAACTGATAATATGCAGTTGGAAAAATTGAAGAGAAATTAGATGCATTAGAATCATAGAATCATAGAATCAAAGAGTTGGAAGAGACCTCATGGGGCATCCAGTCCAACCCCCTGCCAAGAAGCAGGAATATTGCATTCAAATCACCCCTGACAGATGGCCATCCAGCCTCTGTTTAAAAGCTTCCAAAGAAGGAGCCTCCACCACACTCCGGGGCAGAGAGTTCCACTGCTGAACGGCTCTCACAGTCAGGAAGTTCTTCCTCATGTACAGATGGAATCTCCTCTCTTGTAGTTTGAAGCCATTGTTCCGCGTCCTAGTCTCCAAGGAAGCAGAAAACAAGCTTGCTCCCTCCTCCCTGTGGCTTCCTCTCACATATTTATATATGGCTATCATATCTCCTCTCAGCCTTCTCTTCTTCAGGCTAAACATGCCCAGCTCCTTAAGCCGCTCCTCATAGGGCTTGTTCTCCAGACCCTTGATCATTTTAGTCGCCCTCCTCTGGACACATTCCAGCTTGTCAATATCTCTCTTGAACTGTGGTGCCCAGAATTGGACACAATATTCCAGGTGTGGTCTAACCAAAGCGGAATAGAGGGGTAGCATGACTTCCCTAGATCTAGACACTATGCTCCTATTGATGCAGGCCAAAATCCCATTGGCTTTTTTTGCCGCCACATCACATTGTTGGCTCATGTTTAACTTGTTGTCCACGAGGACTCCAAGATCTTTTTCACACGTACTGCTCTCGAGCCAGGCGTCCCCCATTCTGTATCTTTGCATTTCATTTTCCTGCCAAAGTGGAGTATCTTGCATTTGTCACTGTTGAACTTCATTTTGTTAGTTTTGGCCCATCTCTCTAATCTGTCAAGATTGTTTTGAATCCTGCTCCTGTCCTCTGGAGTATTGGCTATCCCTCCCAATTTGGTGTTGTCTGCAAACTTGATGATCATGCCTTCTAGCCCTTCATCTAAGTCATTAATAAAGATGTTGAACAGGACCGGGCCCAGGACAGAACCCTGCGACACTCCACTTGTCACTTCTTTCCAAGATGAAGAGGAAGCATTGGTGAGCACCCTCTGGGTTCGTCCGTTTAACCAATTATAGATCCCCCTCACCGTAGTTTTGCCTAGCCCACATTGGACTAGTTTGTTTGCCGGAAGGTCACTTATGACATGCTTGAATGTGTTTGTCAGGAATTCTTGGTGAGAACTGGCAATGCCTAATTTTGGAGAAGGACCAATTTTGGCAGAAAAAAATGGATGAATTCTTGCATTGATGTAAATGTTACTGAGCTAAAATCAACAATGATCAATCATAGCAAGATTCAGTAGTTCTTGTTATGAAGAACTATTGAATCCTGTGAAGATAACTTTCATTTTTAAAACTCCTGACGCAGCTGGCTGGCTGCTTGGCTACTGGCCTGGAAGGAAATCTAATGATGACTGGTAATCATAGCCACTGAAATGCCAGGATATGATCTCAGTCAATATCTCACATACTCTTGCAAGACTACAAGACTCATGAGACTAGATGATATTTCAGTAAGTTTATATGGATGTTTGCGGGTTTTCTAGTCATAATTTTGGCCACCCGCCATTTTGGTCCTATCCACACTCTCTCCTCTGACCCAGGTAATGCCCTGAGCTCAGTATGGGAGCTTGTTGTCTGGCTGCTGGAATTTGAAGCTTGCTTTGAACTGCATTAAATTGTTCAGTGTAGATTGGGCCATGGACACCTTCGAGGGCAGGAAGGGATTTTTCTGTATTATTGTAGCACAACTCATTTTGATGGGGTTTCACTCACTTTATATGTAGGTTCTCTTACTCATTATATGTAGGTCTTGGTTTGTTTATGATGTATCACTCTATACTTTGAAGTGGTTTGGCAGCTGCTGAGCCAGAACTGGAAAGTATGGAAGAAAGAGAGCACTATTCAAATTTGAGAAGGAAATGCCCTGAGGGGATTGACACATGGTAGAGACAGAATTAACCTGCAAGTTTGGGCATCTGCCCCCCCCCCCCACTCTCTGGCAATAGCACACAAATTGCAAATAGCTGGATTATGGAGTGCTAATTCCTGTACATAATGCCGTAGTTGGGATCAACCCAGCTACATTTCATTTTAAATAAAGCTAATATTTGATTCCAGTTTTGTTATAATATGTCAGTGGATAAAATGTGTGTGTATGGGGAGGGGGGTGGGTGGGTGGGAGGAACAGGTTGCCAGGACAACAGAAACAGAACTTGGCTATTTTTGTATGGAATAGGTGAATGCCTGGAGAGAGAGAGAGAGAGAAAGAAAGACAGGTGGCAGACAGATAAATAAAAAAAATCATGACTCCAAAAGAAAAAATTGTAGAGGAAGTCACAGGCAAGAGATTTCTCTGTAGGAGAGAAGTTATGGCTTTTCACAAAAGTGTTGCTTTCTGGAAGAACAGAACATGTATGCTTGCTCTCTCTCTCTCTCTCTATATATATATATCTTGGACAGATTGAAACTAAGAAATTGGTATCCTTCTGGGTCGTCTCTCTGGGATGGGCCTCGGGGGCACGGTCTTGGCGTGGCTCCGGTCCTTCCTGGAGGGCCGAACCCAGATGGTGAAGCTGGGAGACGCCTGCTCGGACCCCTGGCCTTTGACCTGTGGGGTCCCGCAAGGCTCTATTTTGTCTCCCATGCTCTTCAACATCTACATGAAACCGCTGGGAGAGGTCATCCGGAGTTTTGGAGTTGGGTGCCACCTTCTCTACGCAGATGACACACAACTCTACTACTCTTTCCACCTAATTCCAAGGAGGCCTCTCGGGTGCTGGACGAGTGCCTGGCCGCTGTGTCCATCTGGATGAGGAAGAACAAGCTGAAGATCAATCCCGACAAGACAGAGGTCCTCCTGGTCGATCGTAAACCGGATCGGGGTATAGGGTGGCAACCTGTGTTGGACGGGGTTACACTCCCCCTGAAGCCACAGGTCCGCAGTTTGGGTGTCCTCTTGGATTCATCACTCACACTTGAGGCTCAGGTGTCAGCGGTATCCGGGAGGGCTTTTGCACAACTGAGACTTGTGCGCCAACTGCGACCGTACCTCGCGAAGGCTGATCTGGCCGGGGTGGTCCATGCCTTGGTCACCTCTAGACTGGATTACTGCAATGCGCTCTACGTGGGGCTGCCCTTGAAAACGGCTCGGAAATTCCAATTGGTCCAGCGGGCAGCGGCCAGAATGTTAACTGGGGCCCATTACAGAGAGAGGTCAACCCTCCTGTTTAAAGCTCCACTGGCTGCCATTTATTTTCCGAGCCCAATTTAAGGTGCAGGTGCTCACCTACAAAGCCCTGAACGGTTTGGGACCACTCTACCTGCGTGACTGCATCTCCATCTATGAACCTACACGCTCACTCCAGTCATCTGGGGAGGCCCTGCTCGTGATCCCACCCACGTCGCAAGCGCACTTGGTGGGGACACGGGACAGGGCCTTTTCTGTGGCGGCCCCCCGGCTTTGGAACGCCCTCCCAAAAGATCTTCGACAGGCCCCTACCTTGGCAGTTTTCAGAAAGAATCTAAAAAACTTGGCTGTTCCGATGTGCCTTCTCAGATTAGGAACTCCCCATCCCCAAGTCCTAGAAGCACTTTAGTATAATTAAGATCGCTGCACACTGCACTTATTTTAATCCTACGTTCCTCCTGCCATCTCAGCACTTTTAACACTGTACCCACTGCTCTGGCCGGCCCAGTTTTAAGGTGTCCTGATGTATTGTTACTGCTGTTGTTATTTTGCTTAACTATTTTGATTTGCTTTTGTTTTTCTGTTGTGTTATGTTTTGCTGTACTGTGTTTTTGAGGCTTCGGCCTGTGTAAGCCGCATCGAGTCCTTCGGGAGATGCTAGCGGGGTACAAATAAAGTTAATAATAATAATAATAATAATAGAAATTCTGCACTTATTAAAAGGAAACCATTGGAGATGGGGAAGAAGAATGAAGAGACTGCCAGAACTGTGGAAAAGATAACACTGTTTAATGGAAATTATATTCATTCAAAATGTTGGGGAAAATTACTCATTCTGCTACTATTCTCCTCTGGATTATTTCTCCAGTATTACATGAATAATGTTCTGCTTTTTTTGTTAATTTATAACACTTCGCTTGCTGAGAACTAATTACCTGGTACCCAGGCATAGACACATCACCTTTCCTCCCTCTGTCACTTTTCCTCCTGAAACTCAAGATAATTGTAGGGCAGCTTTGGCACATGTTACATGGAAGACAGTCTGAGCACAATTCCCACAAAGGTTATGCTGTTAAAAAACATTTCCTCCAACTGGGCAGTTTTGTGTTTCTGTTTGCATGATAAAAGAATAGAGGACAGAAGGAGCCACTCCAAGAACCATACCTCCATGCAGAATCCTTTCACAACATGTCTTTGCTTCAGATTGGTTTCACCATCGAGATTGGCTGTCTCCAAGTGACAGATCCCATTCTGATCAGAGGAATACAGCAGCAGCATGTCAGCTGGGACGATCTCATTACACTGCAGCTGCACAAAGTCTCCTACTCGGACGTCTTTCCAGCACATCTCAGTGTAGCTGTTTTTGCTTCTGTTAAGAGAAAAGGCAGCACAATTGAGTTGCTTGTGACAGCCCATGAAGTCAAGGAGTATCCCTTGCCTTTGGATTGTAGGATGTGTTGCCTAGGTTCTTGAAGTCAAAGAGTGCAATTTTATCACACCTATTTTCTTACATTTTTGTGAGACTCACAATGTAATTTATGAGTACATTTTATTTCTTAGTAACTGAAGTGCACCTGGTGCTGCTCTGGTCTGTTCTTAATGCTCCAAAAGAGGTCCACAAGACCTTCTGTTTTCTGGCCTTCGTAGTCTCAAGACTCTACTGCTGGGAATTCAGAGAATCCTCTTCCATTCCCTCTCCCTTTTGAATGCCAGAAGTTTTAGTAGCATTGCCCTAGAAAAAGAAACCCTGATGCATTATTGACCGATTGATTGCTTATAGGAAACTAGAACTTCAACTTGAAACTGGTTACAGCAACTTTGGTGACCACTTAGAAAAATATTTCAAAATTTCTAGCCCTGTTCTCTACATGCCTAACACATCTAAGAATGGGCATTTTAAGATATTCTTAATGGACAATAATATTTGTATGTGGGCAAGACATGCAGGATTTTATAGCTCAGTCCCAGCACACGGAATGGTATCTGGGAGCAGATGGGATACCAGGTACCAAGTGTGTCTAACCTGGATATAACAGAATTCTCAAACTATAATTTTAATTTTTAAAGAGGAGCAACCACCACATTTTATACCACCTTCCTGTTTATGGGCTTCTCCATAATAGAGAAGGACTTCACTTTGATATCTCTGGTCCAACATTATACTAGAATTTAAAGTGTATAGCTGTTTGTTATGCTATAAAACTCGAAATGCATGATCACAGAGCCATAAAACATAGTATATTATCGAATGGAACCAAAATGAAGATGATGGAACAACAACAGCAATGGCAATAATAATACATTTATTATTTATTGACTATCTCCCCATGGATTAAGGCAGAGAAAAATACAACACATGAAAACATTTAAAAACACATACATCAATTAAAACACATTGGAGTCCAACTGGGCTCCTTATTTCTTAGCTATTCTGTTTGGGTTCAGTGCTTTCCCCTACTATCCAGCTTATTCAGGTTTCCTCTCTGCATTCACAGGAATAAAGTTGATGGGAGAGTCATACCAAATGGTGGTGATACCTTGTGCAGAATCAGTATTTTCATCAAGGACATGGATGGATAACAGGGTATATATTTGTTGGGGAAACAATACATGATTAGGGTTTGTAAACATTTTTTAAAATAGAATTACTGTTGGTCATCCATATCCACAGATTCTGTAACCACAGTTTTAACAATTCATGGCTTGAAAATATTCATTTAAAAAAATCCAAAAGCAAACCTTGATTTTGCTATTTTATATAGGAGACAACATTTTCCTTTGTCATTGTGTATCAGGAAACTTGAGTTTCCACAGTTTTTGGTATCTGCTGTAATACTATAAGTTGGTAGAACTGACTAATGTAGCAGAAATGAATAAAATGTCATGTTTGATTAGAGAAAGAATAATAATATAACAACAAATCTTTATATGCCGCTTTTCTCCCACAAAGGGACTCAAAAGAGCTTCCAACATATTAAAATATTACAAAATCAACAGCAATCAAACACACAAATATAAATGATAAGCAATCAAGCATTTAAAACCATATTCAGTATTAAGCTGCCTTAACACATCTTGTTAATAGAGTCATTACTGACATTTCTTAAAGATGGGAACTTCCCATTGGCTTTTTGTGACAAAAAGGAAACTGAAGTGTTAACTTTGTGATTTGATCAATATAAAGGATTTGTCATTGAAAGAAGTTAGTTTGTGTCAATGTTCGACAGAGAGGTATGCTGAGAAGTCTGGAAGACAATTTTTCTCATTTTATTTTGTTTTTTCCCTTTCCCTTTATCTTTTTTCTCTTTCATTATATCTTTTAAAATATACTTTTTATTGTATTCTTTACAACTTGTAATAAATAAAAACAGCAATAAAATTAGAAATAGAACCTCAGTTGATCTACATTATATAAAAAGGTAAAGGTTGCCCCTTGACATTAAGTCTAGTTATGTCTGACTCTGGGAGGTGGGGGTGCTCATCTCAATTTCTAAGCCAAAGAGCTGGCTTTGTCCGTAGGCACCTCCTAGGTCATGGGGCTGGCATGACTGCATGGAGTACCATTACCTTCCCACCAGAGTGGTACCCATTGATCTACTCACATTGGCATGTTCTCCAACTGCTAGGTTGGCAGAATCTGGGGCTAACAGCGGGAGCTCATCACGCTCCCCAGATTTGCACTGCCGACCTTTCAGTCAGCAAGTTCAGCAGCTCAGCAGTTTAACCTGTTGCATTACCGGGGCTCCACTACTTTATATACATTTTATATACTACATTATATACTCGTGTATAAGGCAAGGAATTATAGTAAAAAAATCAACTTATCCTCAGGTTAATGTGAATTCTGTACCTTAACTCTTATTTAAAAAAGGAACCACCCCCCTCTCTCAGGAGTAAAGTGGTGAAAGGTGAGAAGGTGAGAGCTTAATCCATTGCAGGAGAAGCTAAAAGAAGCACTGACCCACCCTCTATTCTTTCCACCGTGATGCTGCCCTTGGCCTTTTTGACTGTCTGGGTGAGAATAATTAGAGGATCTTTTATATTGATTCAAAATTCTCTTTAGATAATTCTCTGTGTTGAAAGAGGAATTTCTCTGACCTATTTTATCCAGCATTGGAAGCAGAGGGTGTGGCATAGTCAATGATTAAAGAGGCGCCAGTATTCTCTTTCTGGAAAATAGTACATTATTTCCTCCTGAGGTTTTGCCAGGAAAAATCAAGAGAATGTCTCACTGATATATGCAATGGCTATATAAATTTATTGCTTGGTGTGACTTTAATGTCATAGTGTCTGTTGGTGCCATGAGGTGAAGTATCTCTTTCCTTTTGGGCTGATTTCTGGAAGGCATTGCTTAGTGGAAGCCCTCCTGTGGGAACTGCTCAGACCAAGTGAAGTGGAGTGAGGGATCTCTCCAAAGCAGCTCATAGTAACTTGGGATGACTCATCTCACACTTTGAGAAACATAGGTGTAAGAACTACTTACAAGATGGAGGCCAAGCCAAAAAAGTTTATCATGTGCTATATATACCTTCCTGTGAAATCAACACTTTTGGGTAACTGTTAGGCGCCATTTCCTTTCTCATAAGGGCAGTTCAATAATGAAATGATAAGTAGAGAGGATGACTGTCCAGTGTTCTTGCATAGAAGAACTGATAGTTGGGCATCAGCTGTGAATATGTAAGGATTCAATGCTTTTGTAAAGACGATGTTCTGAATCCATAATATTGTGGTGCTGGGAGAAAGTTTACTCGGGAATAGGAAAATGTATAGCTGCTTAAAGTAGATGAGATGTGAGAAATCATGTCAGAAGAATTTTGTTTTGGTATTTCCCATGGTAGGTTTTAATATTGAACGACAGTTAGCTGCCAGCTTTCATGTCAGTAGGATGGAAAAAAAACTTTCCAGATTTTAGTTGAACATTTTTTTAAAAAACTATTCACAATTATTTGGAAACTTATTTCTTTCAAATTCAGGCTAAAACCTTGAGTTGTTTCATCATCTCACTGATATGGAACCTTTACCCATCACTGATCTAATACCTAATTTCAAAATTAAAAATATTTTAAAAAGAAAATTCATGCAGAACTTTATTATTTCATTTAACAACATTGTAGTTAGCATTTGAAATATATGCACATGACAAAAGAGAGAGAGAAAGAGAAAATAAAGGTTGATACACAGAACATGTTGCAAATTTGTCAGTTTTGGCTCAGCAGAACTCTACTCCATAATGTCAAGTGAAAAAAATGAACTCATAATCCCTGGCAGTGCATCTAAAAACTGAGTGTTCACCACTCAAACACAACTTCTGACAATTCAGAAAATACCTCCCCACCTCCAGTCATTAAGAAAGAAGTTACAGCTTTCATTATTTCATTCTGAAATGATGATCTGATACTTCACAAATAGCATTCTAATTCAAACCCAACAGTTTATTGCTTTTCTGGAGCAAGATTTTCTGCCTCTTTGCCTTAAGTATTAATAATAATGATGATGATGATAATAATAATAATAATAATAATAATAATTTAATTAAAATACACAGAATGGCTGATAAATATTCACATAAGTTTTCTCAATGGTTTTTAGAGTAGGCTGTCATAACTATTGTGACTTCACATTGGAGGTACAGAAGTTAGAAGGTTGCTTACTATTAATCTGCAACACCATTTTGCATTATCTATTAATTTCCTAACAGGAATACTAATATTTAGTGGGCCAGACTGCCATCCATGACCCTTAGAAGTTCATTATAAGATGGCAGGAGCTCAACCAAATTAATTCCCTTTCCTTGGTTGTTTTTCCATTATTATTTTCAGCTCAGCAGCATTGAACATCCCATGTCTCTTGAAGATCGCTGAGCATGCTAAGTAGTTTTCAGACTGTCTTCCTGCTTTCTTTTTTGAAAATTTTAATAGGCATATATATGTATATGTATATATGTAAATATCCTCATCTATATAGAAGTAATGTCAGCACACCAGTAGAGGGAATGCTTGCAGGATATTTTGGCATTAATGGAATCTCAGCATGAAAGATGAAAAACAAATTGAGTTCTTATAATTAACTATACATATAAAAAGAATGGCACTATTCAAGTAACCAATGAATTGATGTATGTTACTAAAGACTTTATTACATGTATGGTACTAACGACTTTATCACATGAGGGGCAGTGGGGCAAATCCATCACACTGTGTACTGCTCCCTCATTGTGACACTTCCCCTATCACATGTGGGAAGCATTGCTCAAGCTGCAAGGATCAGCACAACATGAGTAGGCTCCCATGTTGGGAGGAAAGCATCATTCAATGTTTCCACTCTGGTTGTGGATGGTGCCTCCACTGGAAGTCCACTGACATCAAGGGA